GAACTCGGCGCCTCCTGGAGAGGTTTACGCCGGGGCGGTACAAAATGGCCGCTACGAGAATCCAGAAATGGACGCAATTCTGGACGAGATGGAGTTGATGCAGCACTCGCCGGACAACCCGCGTTACGTCGAGTTGACACGGCGGCATTCGAGTGTTCCTCCGAGACATGCCGGCAATTCACATCGCCGAAGAGTTGCACGTCGTCGTTCAGAATACCCATTACTGGACAGGTTGGCCAGGTGTCGAGGACCCGTACGTTTCGCCGTACGCTCCGTGGAACGCTTGGTACTTGATCACACTAAACTTGGAGCCGACAAAGTAGCCGAGTACTTGAGGTCGCTACACGCCATTTGAGTAGCGACAGAATCCGCCGAATAATCTCATCGTCGTTTCGAAGAAGATCGCAATCTGAGACCGGGCGCGTCGGGAAAGAACAGACGACGAGGGTCTCAAAGTTAGGTTATGCTTGATGAGTCGTCGGATTGGGCGCTTAATCGTCACGTCTCGGCGTCAATGTAACGAGTCGGTGGAGGGCTAGGAGGTCCCCAAGAGTCATGCGTTTGAAGAAATGATCATGTCGGTTGCCTTGCCGGGTGTCGCAATCCTGATTGCGTTAGCCGCGATTGGGGCCTGTGGCGGCACCGAAACTATCGTACAAACGGTCGTCGTTAAGGAAGAAGTTGCGGTCGAGGTACCGGTAACCGTCGAGGTTGAGAAAGAGGTCGTCGTTCAAGGCGAGACGGTGGTGCAGACGGTAGAGGTAGAGAAACAGGTTGTTGTCGAGAGGGAAGTTACCGCTACTCCTGACCCCGGTGCGCTGAGGGATGTTCCGCGAAATCGCACAGTGGTTTTCACCCACTGGAGTGGTTCGTACCGCACCCAACACGACAACGTGGAGAACTTCAACTGGTGGCTACCCGGAAACTCGCACGCCCGGCACGCTTCTGAGAAGGGTCTGGTCGAGTACCTGTTTTACACCAACCTGAACAATGGTCAGATCGTCCCCTGGCTCGGCGAATCATTCGAGTACAACGACACGTTAGATGAGATCGATGTGAAGGTGCGTGAAGGAGCCAAGTGGTCTGATGGCGTACCGTTCACCGCGCACGATGTGAAGTTCACGGTCGACATGGTGATCGCGTCTGCACCAGAACTTTCGCGTTCGAATCTTTGGGCCGACCAAATCGAGAGCGTCACGGTTCACGATGACTACAACCTCACTGTGAAGTTGACTCGGCCCGACCCACGCTTCTTCCAAGAGCAGTTTGGATTCGGGCACGAAAACCACACCGCAATCGTGCCGAAGCATGTCTGGGAGAACGAAGACCCTCTGACTTTCACGAATTACGATCCCGACAAAGGCTGGCCGTTGGGCACCGGTGCATTCAGACTAGTCCTGTCCACCCCGGAAGTGCAACTGTATGACCGCAGGGACGATTGGTGGGGCGCTGAGACCGGGTTCCATGATCTGCCGAAGGTCGAGCGACTGAAGTACATCCCGATCGCCAACGACGACGTTGCTGGACAGCTCTACATCAACAACCAGACTGACGCTGGTGTACCGCTGTTGAAAGGTACGTTTGAGGCTGCGAAAGGCTTCAACGAATCTCTAAGGTCGTGGAACTTCGAAGGACCGGTATGGGGCGCCGCCGATGGTTGCAACTTTGTACTGATCCTCAACAACCAGAAGAAGCACTTGAGCGATGTGAACGTTCGTTGGGCGATCAACCACGCCATCGACCGTGGTGAGATCACCGGAATCGCATACGAGGGTGGTGTTCCGCCGGTCGTGGTTCCGATTTCGTCCTACGGTGTAAAGCAATATCTGCCCCTGGTGCAAGACATCATCGACAAGTACAACCCCGACGATCCAGACCCCGCAAAAGTTGAAGCGCGCATGACGGCCTCCGGGTATTCCAAAGATTCCGGAGGGTTCTGGACGAAAGACGGCGAGCGTGTTGAGATCACTTTGGAGATTCCTTCGTGGCTGCGACCTCAAGGTCCGTTCCTTGAAAAACAACTCCAAACCGGTGGTTTCGACGCGGTCTTCAAGCAAGGTGAACCGGCGACTATCGGTGACCGATTGCGTATGGGCGAGACCGAGGTCGTGTGGGTCCAATGTGGTTCGATCACCGAGCCGTACACGACGTTCAAGTCGTACCACTCGAAGAACTCCGCGCCTCCGGGTGAGAACTACGCCGGTGCTGTCCAAGGCGGTCGCTACGAGAATCCAGAAATGGACGCAATCTTGGACGAGATGGAAGCGATGCTCCACTCGCCTGACGATCCCGCGATACGTCGAATTGACGCGGCAAGCGTTCGAGCTGTTCCTGCGAGACATGCCTGTTATCCACATCGCAGAAGAGTTGCACGTAATCGTTCACAACACGCGATATTGGACTGGCTGGCCGGGTGTCGAAGACCCGTATGCCGCTCCATATCCGCCGTGGACAGGTTGGTACCTGATTACGATGAATCTAGAGCCGACCGAGTAGATCGGATGAAGGCGACGACTTGATCGCCGCCTATGCATCGTCCAAGCGGGTTGCGGTCAAACGATCGCAACCCGCTTGATTGGTGATTGGATCCTTGGCAACTTTACGGGAATGTCCCGCCAAACGCTCCGCAACCTGCACCGCAGAAATTAGCATCTAAACCCATGCGAATTACTCTAGTTGTGCTGGTCGCCGTAATAGCGATGTTGCTCGGTGCGTGCCAGGCATCGGAAGATCCGACTCCTATGACCGCGGCCACTGCGAAATCGGATTCGTTGGCGAGTAACAGGGTCGACACGCCAATCCCCGTGCCGACCGCCACGCCCAGTGTGGAGCCGGTTGTGGTGCCTGGAATGGATCCGGTGATGCCGTTCACCAACATCGCACGTGACGCTCTTGGTGAGAATGCGTTTGTGAATAACTGGCATCCGGGATCCGCGTTCTTTGACTTCGACCGCGATGGCGACATGGATTTCTATGTCACTCAGGCCAACTCGGATTCTGAATTCCCTGAGTCGCCGGGTGGACCCAACCTACTGTTCCGCAACGATCGAAACAACGTCTTCACCGAGGTCGGTGTTGATTTAGGCGCCGACCTGTCTCTATCCAACAGCACCGCTGTCGCTGCCTGCGATTTCGACAACGACGGATATCAGGACCTCTATGTCGCCGGTTACGGGTTAATTGGTGACGAACTCGATTACCGCTCTGCGGTAGGCAACGATGCATTGACGAACGCCATCAAGGATCGATTGCTGCGGAACGTTGAAGGTGAAGGTTTTGAAGACATCACAGACGCTGCCTTTGGAGACGCAGTAAACGTGCAGTCGGCCATCACCATCGCCTGTGGTGACGTGAACAACGATGGTTGGACGGACGTGTTTGTCGGCAACCGTTTGGACCAAGATTTCATTCGTTTCGATGATCCGAGGCATCACGGTCACTACAACCGGCTCTACATCAACAACGGCGATTTGACGTTTAGCGACGTAACGGAATCGGCCGGATTGATCGGTCCGCAGATCAAGATGTTGAGTCCTGACGGCGAACCAATGGAGTGGGAGGATCCCGACACTGGCGAGATGACGATGGGATACGACGCGTCGCTAAAGGATGCCAATGGAAATCGTATCGGCGATCCGACCGCGCAGACGTTGGCTTCCCTTTTCTTCGACCACGACTCGGACGGCGACGTCGATCTTTGGTTGGCGGACGACGGTGATGTGCTGAAGGTCTATCGCAACGACACCGACGGCGACGACATCGGCTTCGTGTCGATTGGCGAGGAGATGGGTGTGGATAGTGTCGGAGCGTGGATGGGGTTTGCGATCGGAGACTATGACTCGGATGAGGACCTCGACATATTCGTCACCAATATCGGCTATCACTTCTTGCTTACGATGTTCCACCGGTTCCGTCAGGGGGATTGCGCCTACAGCCACGCGTACGGTTGGGGCACGTGTTACCACTACCTGCTCCGCAACGATGGCTACAAAGAGGACGCGGAAGTGGGAATGATCGGCGACTTCAAAAACGTTGCGCCGGAGACGGGTGTCGCCACGAGTCATGCATTCCCACCGGAGTCGCTCGATCCAGCGAACGTTCTCGATGTCTGGGCCAACGTCGACCAACCGTCAGGATTGGCTGCCTACGATTTCGGATTCGGCACAGCGTTCTTCGACTACGAGAACGATGGTGATCAAGACCTCTACTGGTTGGGTGCGATGGGCGGCAAGGGTGAGGGGCCGAACGGCTACAAGTACACGGGTTCGGGCCGGATGTTGCGCGGTGTTGGCGAAGGGCAGTTCGAGGACATCACCGTGGAGGCGCAGTTGCTCGACATCCAAGGAGTTAACTACGGAGTATTGGATCCAAGCAACCCGGAATTCGATCCAGACCGCCAACGAATGGACCGTAGGTTCCATGAAAACGGCAAGGGATTGGCGAAGTGCGATTTGAATGGCGACGGGACGGTGGATCTGCTGGGGACGAACAGCAACGGTCCGGTGTTTATCTCGGACGATACGATTGACTTCTTCCGCGGTCCGCTGTTCCTGTGGATGAGCAACGCGAGCGAGGGCAATTGGATCTCGATAAAGCTGACCGGGCGGCAGGCGATTGATGGGACGGGCAGCAACGCCGACGGCATTGGTGCGCGGGTGAAGGTCGTAGCGGATGTGGACGGTTCGGGCGAATCAACCACTCAGGTCCAAGACGCGCTCGGAAGTTCGTCGTTCCTAAGCATGAACTGCATCGACCTTCATTTCGGGATCGGCGACGCTACAAAGGTCGACCGCATCGAGGTGCAGTGGCCGAGCGGCGTGATGCAAATCGTCGAAGATATCGAAGCAAACCAGACCGTCGAGGTCGAAGAGCCTGCGGGATAGGTCTGCGCCTTCGCTTCAGTTTGCGGTCGCCGCGGGTTCGAATTTCGGGATATTCGAATGCTTGACCGAGGTCCGCGTTTTCGACTTTTGGCATGTCGGAGTACAGGAAACAACTCGCTAACTGTTGCGGACCGATGGCGTGCAGCGGAGGTGCGGAGGCGGTGCATTGCTCAAATGCGAACTTGCACCTCGGAGCGAACTTGCATTGATCGGTGACCATCGAGGCTTCGTCTACCCGGTCAACCGACTCGTCTTCGTCTTCGCCCCATGCCGCTTTGGGGTCTGGTTGAGGCACCGAGTCGATGAGCAGTTGGGTGTAGGGATGTTTCGGGTTCTGGATGACCTCTTCGACGCTGCCAGCCTCGGCGACCGAGCCGCGGTACATGACGATGATGTTGTCGCACATCTGGTAGGCGGTGGTCAAGTCGTGAGTGATGTAGATGACGGAGATGCCAAAGTCCCGATTGAGGTCTCGAATGCTTCGGAGAATCGTGGCGCGCAATGAGGCGTCAACCATCGAAACGGGTTCATCCGCCAATATGATGCGCGGTCGGAGAAGGAGCGCACGCGCGACCATCACTCGTTGGCGTTGTCCGCCGCTTAGCTGATGGGGATAGCGCCCCAACGTTTCGTCAGGGTTGCAATCCGACCATCCGCAAAGCGTCGGCGATACGTTGGTCGCGCTCCTGTTTGTTGGATGCCAGATTGAAGTTCCGGATGGGTCGGTGAAGGACATGGTCGACGGGGTAAAAAGGATTGTAGGCTTCGAACGGGTCTTGAAAGATTGGTTGGACTTCCCGTCGGAAATTCAGCCATTCGCGCGAACCCATCTTTTGGATTTCTTCGCCTTGGTACATCACACGACCGGATGTTGGCGGTACGACACCAAGCAGCAAACGTGCGAGCGTCGTTTTGCCGCTCCCACTTTCGCCAGCGATCGCCGTGATCGTTGGTCGATCTTCTGGGATGGCCAATGAAACGTCTTGGACCGCGATCGTGACGTTGGAACGATTGAATAGCCCGCCGCCAAAAAATCTTGGATACGCTATCTAGCTCAAGTAAATTAGCCATCGGACCCCGTTTCGTTGTGCAGGTGGCAGGCCGTGCGCCAGTTCGGTCGGATTGCAATGTCGAGCGGGTCGGTGTCTTGGCATATATCCATCGCCGATGGGCAGCGAGGGTAGAACGCGCAGCCGGTAGCGAGGTTCAGCAGGCGCGGAGGCATCCCCGGTATCCCAACGAAATCTTTCTTTTCGCTGAACGACGGCAAGCTTTCGATGAGGAGCCTCGTGTACGGGTGTTGTGGGTCCTCGAAAATCTGCTCGACCGGTCCTAATTCGACCAGTCGACCGGCGTACATGACGCCGATAGTGTCGGCGAACTGTGCCACCAAACCCATGTCGTGACCGACGAGAATAACCGCCGCGTCGATGCCGGACTGGAGTTTACCCAGAGTCTGCATGATCTGGCGTTGAACGACAACGTCGAGGGCGCTTGTCGGCTCATCTGCCAAAATGACTTTCGGGGAGAGGCATGTCGCGATTGCGAGCACCGCCCGCTGTTTCATGCCACCGCTGAGCTCGTGTGGATACATACTCGCGACGGATGGCGAGAGCCCGACGTTAGTGAGCAGGTCTGCGACCTTGTCGCGCAGCTCTCTACGGGTCGGTTTTCGCAAAAGCGCACCTTCAGCGTTCGCTTCCATGACTTCTGACCGCCTAGACCCAGAAGAATTACCAACCGATTCTTCGACGATGTGATCCAAGATACCGTCGATGATTTGTTTCTCGATACGAATGACGGGATTCAACGAGTTCATCGCGCCTTGCGGCACGAGCGCAATCTCGGCGAGCCGAGCGCGCCGTATCTCGGATTCGCTCAACTGCAAAATATCGCGTCCGCTCAATGTGATGCTGCCGGATACGATCTTGCCGGGAGGGCGCGTCATCCGCATCAGGGCGGTGGCCATAGTGCTCTTGCCACTGCCAGATTCGCCGACGAGGGCGAGTCGTTCACCTGCCCGCAGATCGAAGGAGACGCCGTTGACCGCTTTCACGTCGCCTGCCTCCGTCTCGTAGTAGACGTGAAGGTCTTCAACTCGCAAAGCGATCTCTTCGGAAAGCACTCGATTCGTGCTTTGAGATGCATCAGCGGTTGTTCGATTTGTTGCCGTTGTCATGTTGGAACGAAAGGTGATTCGCAAGTTGCTGTGCGCAGTATATAACCTCTGCCAATACCCAACGCTGAGATGCGGGAAGTACGCCAATCGGAGTAACGGTCAGGACAAGCATCCCTGACGATTACGGGGGTAGGTGAGCGGTGCATTATTATGGGATTCGAGCTACAGGAGCGGTATTTACGCATGAACAAATTACACATCCCCAACGAATTTGTCGAATGGGTATTCATCATCGTCGGAGTGACCATTGCGGGTTTGGTTGGCGCTGGTCTTAAGACTTGGCTTGACAGCGCATTGGACGGATCGGGCGTTGAAGGTTGGGCTCCGGGGGTCGTTGCGCTTGTGGCCTTTTTCCTCATCGCCGCACCTTTCTACTTCTGGGTCAATCGGAGCGCGCGAGCGCGCGGCGAGCCGACGTCCGAACAGGTTCTCGGCGACGAAGAATGATCCTTGCGCGGAACGCGCACCTCGATCCAAACAATTGAGAAATTGCCGTATAAACCATGTACCCTAATCAGTCAATCGCAGTTGGACAATAGCGAACCGCGCCTTACGGATATCCGAAAGAGGCGACTTCGCGATTTCAGAGATGGAGGTCGAAGACCCCAGCACGGCGAGATCCTCGTACGCACGCTTTTCCTGTCCTTGGACCCGTATATGAGGGTGACGCCTCCGGGATCGCCGATCTTACGATACGGCTGAGATGCCGTTCCGGTGGGGATAGGCGATGTGTGGTTGGTGAAGGCGGTAGGTCGTGTCTGTCATCGCTTGCGCGCAATCTGGAAGATGTTAGCGGTAGGGGACATCGTGGCTTGCCAGATCGGCTGGCAAGAGACGCCCGTAGTCCGGCGCACACTGGGCACGGGTCGTGGATCCGTCAATGGGGCTCCTTCGGATCACGCAGATGCAGAGCATTAACATGAGGCGTACACTGTCTTACCCGCGTACTGACCTCCGTCCGGTATGACGGCCGCTACTCACGAGACGCTATTTGGGCGGTGGAGCCGCGCCTGGGAGAGACCGTTCTAGTTTCAGCCCCAGCCTGCGTCGGGCGCGGTGGGTGCAGTCGTGGGACAGATCGCGAGATGAACGATGTCGGGTGATCGGAACCGTGGGTTCGCAGCAGAAAGCGATTACTGCCTGCAAGAGTTAGGTTACACGCAGTTATCACTACAAGACCGAAGACGTGTTCGCTCGCTGGCTGAAGAAGCGCCTGATGGTGTCGACATCTATTTCGACACACGTGCACGGTGACCGATGCAGCCATCGAAAACTTGGCGATGCGAGGACGGGTGCTAGTCTGCGGTCAGATCTCGCAGTACAACCTCGAAGAACCCGAGATGGCGCCCGCAATTTGTGGAACTTGATCACGAAACAGGCGCGGATCGAAGGGTTCTTGGTTTTCAATTTCCAGAGCGACCACGACGTTGCACGCGCACGGTTGGCTTCATGGGTGCGCGACGGGTCATTGAAATACCGCGAGGACATCGTTGAGGATTCGAGCACGCGCCGCGGGCGTTCATCGGCTTAATGAATGGCGCCAATTTCGGCAAACTGCTCGTTAAGATGTCCGACTGATGGTTGTCCGTCGGTGAACGAGTTGAATCTCAACACCTGCAAAATCGGCGTTCTTGATGCATAATCATTAACAATCGAGCGGAAGTAGCTCAGTGGTAGAGCATCTCCTTGCCAAGGAGAAGGCCGCGGGTTCGAATCCCGTCTTCCGCTCCATCCTCTCTTCCCAAAGATCTGTCACCACTGTCGATTGACGACTCGTGATAAGCCCGTCAATCGAAATCCGGCATGATGCCTTCGGCGGCGTCCGCCGCAATCTGGCGCTGCAGTTCCGTGAACGACTCGTCGCCGGCGATCCAACGCAAGTAGTCGGGATGAGTCTCGCTCAGGTCGTAAAGAGTGTGTCCGCGGTAACGCCCGAAATTGATTATCGGGTCGCCTTCGTCGATAGTGTGAAACGCCCTTCATCATCGATATGGCGCTCGACCGATTCGCCTGTCACCCATCGTTCCAATGACGCAGGATCGTCGGGGAGGTCCGGGTGTTGTGTGAGTTGCCCGCGGATGATGGCTCTGACGGCGTTTACGGTTACATCGTCCTCGTGGTTCGGACAAAATCTCCGCCAACGAACCGACTGTATGCGCCCGCGAAATCTCTGGTTCGAGCTTGTGTTAAATCTCCATGGCGTCGACGATCACACGCTCCTTGGATCAAAGTCGAAGCCGGTGAATTCGAATTCCTGTCTCAACACGCGAAGATGGAATCGCCGGATCCCGAACCCCGCCAAATCGCAACCGTTTAAGTACTCGAACAACGCCTTCGCGTAGACTGCGAAAGGTCTGGCATCGGCCACGTCTTCATCGGATATGCCGTGGAAATTGGTGGCCCCCGGTGAGATTGGCGAGTTTGGGTTGACGAGCTGGAACGGAACTGCTCAGTGCCGTCGGGTTCGACGCGGAGCGTGGATAGCTTTACGATGCGCGCAGTCCGGTGATCGGTCCGGTGGTCTGTATGTCGAGAAAAACGATCGGACGCTCAAGGCGGAGCGGTAACTCGATATTCGTGTTGGTTGCCGGGATATGTTCTTCTGTTGCCATCGTAAATCACATTATTCGCGTTTCGAAAACCCTTGGGATTAGGTTAACTATCGATGGTTCGAATCGCAATCGCTGATGGCGAGAGCGGGGTGTTTCAAGGCGAGAAAATCCGTCTCGCAGTTAGAATTAAGGCATTGGATTGCCGAAGTGGCGGAATGGTAGACGCGAAGGTCTCAAAAACCTTTGGGCTTTAGCCCATGTGGGTTCGACTCCCACCTTCGGCACCAACGCGCAATTCTTCCTGCGTCAACCCCAAAAAACGACGATGGACAGTGCGCGTCTAGGAAGGAACATCGCCTTAGATGCGTGGTGCCGAGGGGCGGACTCGAACCGCCGACACATGGATTTTCAGTCCATTGCTCTACCAACTGAGCTACCTCGGCACGGCATGTCAACACTATTTTATCTTTGCGCCGCTGGTATAATCCATATCGCAAGCGAGTCGCCTCCATGACTGCCCAAAAATAACCGCCTGAGTGCCACATATGCCGTCAATCATCATCTCGTCAATCAGCGAATCTGCGGGCAAATCGGCACTCGCTGCGGTGACTATTTCCCGATTGCGGTATGACGGAGTAGGAGTGGTTTCGGGGGCGGACACCGGCGAACTTTTCTCGCAAGATAGCGGAGTCAAGCAGGTTGCGTCCGACGATATAGATTCATCTTCGGATTCGGTCTCGATAATTGAGGGATCGGCTGGCGACCCAGAGGCGGACGTGGCGTTGGCGGAAAAGCTGGACGCCAGCATTGTGTTGGTCGCCGAATTAGATGAAGATGTTGCTGCTGCGGTGCCGGGATATGGACAGCGATTGGCGGGCGTAGTGTTGAATAAAGTGCCGCGATATCGTGACGTCCACGCCGAGAGAATGCTGGCTGCACTTTCGGACGATGGTGTCAAATGTCTCGGTTGGGTGCCGGAGGACCGACGGCTTGCCGCTAACACGGTCGAGTCGGTGATAGCCCACTTAGAAGGGCGGCTGGTTTTCGACGTCAACACGACGACCGAGCTGGTCGACAACGTGTTAATTGGTGGTTTGGTGCTTGATTGGGGACCGTTCTATTTCCGCTCGCAAGACAACACCTGCGTCGTCGTGCGCGGTGGACGGCCAGACGTGCAGTTGTCTGCTTTACAGAGCGAGACGACTAGAGCGATGGTTCTGACGGGTGGCGACAAGCCGATCGACTACGTCTTCTACGAAGCGCGAACTAAACGCATACCTTTGATCGTGGTTGACGGTGACACTAACTCCACGATGGCGGCGCTTGACGCAATGGCTCCTGCTGGTTTCACGCACCCGGACAAACTGGGTCGAATGAGTGAACTAATCGCCGAACGCTCGATTATCGAACCGATACTTGATCTCGTCGCGCTACCTCCGACACGCTGATCCTTCATCGGGAAGGAGCAGTCAGCATGTCGATGCCGCGTGAGACTATCTGCATGGTCACCATCGCACGGTAATCTCGCCCATTCGGCTCGCACCGCAGATGACGCCGCGGCGTTCCTATTGCCACATTTACAACCCGGGATGTCGGTGCTCGATTTCGGATGTGGTCCAGGCACGATTACGGTTGGCCTCGCCGACGCGGTAGGCGAGACGGGGTCGGTACTTGGCATCGATGTCTCCGACGGTTTGCGCGAGCGAATGGGACGAAGCGCCTCGAAGAATCGAGAGCGGCGAACCTCGAGTTTCGCGTTGACGACATCTACGAGACCGATCTCGATCAGAATCAATTCGATGTTGTCTATGCGCACCAGGTACTGCAACATTTAGGCGATCCGATAGGCGCTCTATCCGCGGCATCCCAGTTGGCCAAGCCGGGTGGGTTGGTTGGAGTGCGCGAAGTCGATTGGGGAACCTTTGCCGCCTATCCAGATTCGCCGGTCCTCAAGGATTTTCGAGATGTATACGACGCGGTGGCGATTCGTAATCGGGGGACTCCTCATGCTGGTCGGCACATCTTGGAGTGGATGGAATCGACCGGATTGCTAACCGACATCCGCATAACGACGAGCACGTGGACTTTTATGACGAGGAAGGGAAGAAGTGGTGGGGCGATCAGTGGTCGCAGAGGATGTTGCATTCCGATATCGCGGTGAAAGCGATTGAGTACGGTATCGCGACGCAATCTGAGTTGGAGGCCATCTCTCGGGGTTGGATCGATTGGAAGAACGCTCCGGGCTCAGTCGCATGCTTCACACATTTCGAGGGACTGGCGCGTCGCTTATGACGCGCGGAAGATGATCTCACGACCATGCGCGGCGCTGGACGACTTCGCGGCGTGTTCACTGATCGCGTTCGTGCCTTTGACGATGGGCGCGTAGAATATGTGAAACTTGTTCTAACATTTGGTAAGTAGCACACCGAATAACTGATTTCGAATGACAACTCTGACGACAAATCCTGACGCGGTTCTCGAAGGACTCTCCGACGCGCAGCGCGCCGCGGCTTCCTACATTGACGGACCGTTGATCATCGTCGCCGGACCGGGCAGCGGAAAAACGCGGGTGATGTCGCACCGAATGGCGTACATCTTGGCGACTGCGTTGCTCCGTGGCGGGCGTTGGGCGTCACTTTCACGAACAAGGCGGCGGCTGAGTTGCGTCAGAGGTGCGATGCATTGGCAAGCCGATTCGTTCCCACGCGACCGAGACGAACGTCAGCACGTTCCACTCTTTCGGCGCCCGATTCCTCCGCATCCATCACGACGCGGCCGGCTTAGGGCGAGACTTCACGATCTACGACCGCGACGACCAAGAGCGGATGTTGAAATTGATCTTGGCCGACATGGACGTTGAAGCGAAGGTCGGCGAGGTGCTGGCCGACATCGGCAAAGCTAAGAACAACAACATGTTGGCGGATGAGTTCGCCGGCACTGGGGTTGGCCACCGTCACGAGTTGCACGCCGAGATTTACGCCAACTACCAGGCGGCGTTGCAACGTGGTAACGGCGTCGATTTTGATGATCTTCTGCTCAAGCCATATCGTGTATTGATGAGCGATCCGGATATTCGGAACCAAATGCAAGACCGCTACCAACACATCATGGTTGACGAGTTTCAAGACACCAACGCTTTGCAGTTCGAGTTGGTCCGGGTTTTGGGAGATGTTCACCGCAACATCTGCGTAGTGGGCGACCCCGATCAATCGATCTACTCGTGGCGTAATGCCCGGCCTGAGAATATGGAACGTTTGGCAGAAGTGTTGGATGGATGCAAGGTATTCGAGTTGAGCGAATCGTATCGTTCGACGAAGACGATCATCGCCGCGGCATCGGGCTTGATCGCGCACAATAAACGAGCCATTGAGCGAGTTCTCTTCACTAACAACGAGGAGGGCGAACCAGTAGAGATCGGGGTCACTGAACACCCGGAGCATGAGGCTTCGGTGATTTTGGACGTTGTTGAACGTCGCGTCAGGCCGAAAACTGGGGGAGACGGTCCTGGAGATGCACAGTTAAGGGGCGATTTGGATCGCTTCGCGGTCTTGTACCGCACTAATGCGCAGTCTCGGGCGATTGAGACGGAGTGTAGCCGACGGGGAGTGCAGTACCGGCTTATCGGCGGTGTCAGGTTCTACGAGCGCCGTGAGATAAAGGACGCGTTGGCGCTTCTACGGATCGTCGTCAATCCGTCCGACGAGACATCGTTGCGCCGGATCATCAACGTGCCGCCGCGCGGAATCGGACCGGCAACGTTACGAAAACTCGAGGAATACAGCGTTTTCAACAACGTCTCGCTCCTAGACACGATGTTGCTCGCCTCGGATCCATCTGCATCCCATCAACTCGGATTGGGCAGAGCGGCGCTCGGCAAAGTCAGATCATTCGCCGACTTTGTGACGATGCTGATCTCAAATTCCGAGAAACATTACCCAAGTGACCTACTTGACTACGCATTGAAGGGCAGTGGTTATCGCGACTGGGTTAACAAGGACGAGGAAACGAGGCTCGAGCGCAACGAAAATTTGAAAGAGTTGGAGTCTCTGGCCGAGAACTACTCGAGTTCGGATGATGGGATCGAGCCGCGGCAAGCTCTTTCTGATTTATTGGAGCACACATCGCTGTTCGCCAACGTCGATTCGATGGACGAGGGTGTCGGTGCTGATGAGACGAATGTCGCGGTGCCGAGCGAAACGACGGGCGCGATCACGCTAATCACGTTGCATCAAGCCAAGGGCTTGGAGTTCGATACCGTTTTCATCGCCGGTGCGAACGAAGGAGTTTTGCCGCACGCCATGGCATTGAACGTGCAATCCCAAGACGACTACGAAGCTGCTTGCGGCGAAGAGCGCAGGTTGATGTACGTTGGCATGACACGCGCCAAACGCAATTTGCACGTCACATGGTCGCTATTCACCTCCTCCTCGTTGTACCGCCGCCAGAATGTTCCGTCGCAGTTTTTGAAAGAGATACCGGAGGAGAACGTCAAGGAGGTCGAATACGCCCGGGTACCAGGCAGGTCGGCTCCACCCCCGATAGCCTTTTCTTCGAGTTCCGGCATCGCGGTCGATCGCCCTCGATTCTCCTCAGTCCGACGCCGGGAGCAACGGGAAAAGTTCACGGAGCAAGGCATCGACGACCTACCGGTCGAGATGCAGCTCAAGGCCGGTCAACGGGTCAAACACAGCCAGTTCGGCACTGGTGTCGTGGTCAATTCGCGGCCCGTCAACGGAGACCTACGGGTTACCGTGGCGTTCTCGGAAGAAGGTGTCAAGATGCTGATGGCCAGCATGGCCGGACTCGAGAAAGTCTAGAAGGGTTTTCCTTTGTTTGATCGAATTCCCGATCGTACCTTCGTTTTCGCAGTCCTATCGCTGTTGTTGAGCATCGCCGCGTTCGCATATCTCACGTTGTGGCCATCGTTTGAGATCGTCGAAACCGACTCCGAGGGCGTCGGAACTATTCGCCGGGTCGGTATCGCGGAGGCGAACGGTCTTGTGGGGTTGGTTCTCGCGTTGATTCCGGTGTTAGTCACGCTTGGTGCGATACTCTCGGTGCCGCCCAGCGGTAATGCTGAGCGCCGACACAAGTTAAACCTGATCGTGGGGACGATTCTGCTGTGGGTGTTCATCGTTGCGTTTTCCGGAGACATCGGTATTTTCTATGTTCCCGCATCGACGATGTTGACGTCGGTTGTGGTGCTGATGCTGATTCGTGACCGTGCATGGGGTAAGCCGGGAGTCCGCGAACGCTCGAAATCGGCACGAGAATTGCGAGAAGAAGCGGTTCGTCGTGCGAAACGCTCCAGCAACCGCGTTGGACGTCGGAGAGATGGAAGGCGTCGCTCTCGTTAGTTAAACTTGGTGAGTCGTGAACACCGATGGCGTAGCAATTTCCGAGCATAGGCGCGATATCCGATGAGTTCGGTAGTGACCGAAGAGATGCGATCATTCATCGGCGCGGAATCGCCGCCAATCACGTACCGTGTCTCGCATCGTGAAATCGCCCGTTTCAACGCCGCAATACGGGGTGAACTTCCGCCGGTTGAGACAGACGCCGAATCGCAAGGCAATCCGTCGCCTTTGGAAGCCAATCCTCTGATCCTCAGGTCGTTCATCTCCGCGCCATTCGATCCTCCGTTCCTAGAACCGTTCCACGATGTCCTCGACGGCGGAAGCAGTTTCAATTTGATCAGACCGGTGGTTGCCGGCGACGAGATCACCGTGGTCAGAGAGATGAAGGATGTGTTCGAGAAGATCGGACGATTCGGAACAATGCTGTTCAAGGTTTCCGAAGTACGGTACAGCGACTTCAATGGGCGACTGGTGGCCACGCAAGTGTCGACTAGCATTTCGTACGGCAGACCTGCGGGGTCTGTTTAGTTAGTGATGGATGGAGGGATATATGTCGAAGATACATTTTGAAGACGTGGAGATAGGCGACGAGATTGATCCGGTGCGTCACTTCGTACTCCAAGACAATTGGTGCAGTATGCCGCGGTTTCGCAGGACTTCACGCCAATCCACTACAACACCGCTTATGCGCAAGGTGCCGGCCACGAAGACATAATCATCCATGGCGCACTCAAGACGGCCTTGCTTTCGCAGATGTTGACAGATTGGGCAGGCGGTGTCGGCGCGCTCAAAAAGCTTGAGACGTCGTACCGGGGGATAGACCTCGCTGGCGAGATTTCGTGCACTGGTTCCATTACCGACAAACGAGACGGGGACGGCGTCGGATTAGTCGACTTGGACGTCCAATTCCGAAATTCGGAAGGGACAATCACAACACCTGGCAAAGCCACAGTCGCGCTACCGAAACGCGGCGAATAAAAACGCGAACAAATTCGCAAACCATAGGGAACACGATAGGAGCAACATGTTGCATCTTGAGGGGAAAGTCGCAGTAGTAACCGGAGCTGGTCGCGGAATCGGACGAGGCGTCGCCGAAGAGTTGGCCGCAAATGGAGCGAGCGTGGTCGTCAACGACATCGGCGCCGAGCTTGATGGGACCGGTGGTTCATCTTCGATCGCGCAGGGAGTTGTGGACGACATCATGGCGTCAGGCGGCAACGCGGTGGCGTCAGGCGACTCGGTTACGACTTGGGACGGCGGACAGCGAATCATCGAAACGGCCCTCGACTCTTTCGGCCGTATCGACATCGTAGTAACGGTTGCGGGCATCTTACGCGATCGGATGCTCTACAACATGACTGAAGAGGAGTGGGACGACGTAATTGCCGTGCATATGAAGGGCACCTTTACGGTGGTCCGACATGCCGCGCCGATATTCCGGCAGCAACGCGGTGGTCGAATTATCACGTTCTCGTCCGGATCGGGCTTGGTCGGTTCGATCGGACAGTCCAACTACGGCGCGGCGAAGAGCGGCATCGCTGGTTTCACCAAAGTGCTGGCTAAAGATTTGGGCAAGTACGGCGTCACCGCAAACAGCATCGCGCCGCGAGCCGAGACGCGGATGATTGCATCGATACCCGGAAACATCCAAGAGATGATGGTCGAACGCGGAGCATTGCCGCAATCCGACGAATTGCCGTGGGAGCCCCGCGATGTCGCACCTTTCGTTGCCTACCTCGCAACCGATGGCGCAGCGCAGATCAACGGTCAGGTGTTTCTCGTCTACGGCGGCAACGTCTCGCATCTGTCCCTGCCGCGTCGGGTTAACACCATCTACGCCCCCAATCCGCCCGGTTATTGGGAGCTTGATGAACTTGACCGATTGGCACCCAAGGTATTGCTGCAAGGATCTCAAAGCATCACGGGCGGCAGCGCTTTCGCCGAAATCAACCCGGGATCGAAGGCACCGGCACCGGCGGTAACTAAGGCGATCAACGGCAAACGGCTTGAGGGTAGGGTTGCCGTTGTGACTGGTTCTGGTCGAGGTATCGGACGCGGCGTGGCAAAGCTATTGGCAAGCGAAGGCGCATCGATCGTTGTCAACGACGTCGGCGCGGCGCTCGACGGCCAAGGCGAAGATTCAACTCCGGCAGCGCAGGTTGTAGAGGAGATCAGTGAGCTGGGCGGACGTGCGGTCGCCTCATATCACTCGGTCGCAACAGCAGAAGGCGGCGCCAACATCGTGCAGCAGGCCCTAGATGAGTTTGGTCGACTAGACATTGTGGTGACGCCTGCGGGCATACTCCGTGACCGCATGATTTTCAACATGGCCGAGGAAGAATGGGACGATGTGATTGCGGTGCACCTGAAGGGCACCTATTCGGTCGTGCGACCTGCGTCGGAATATTCCGCGGGCAAAAGAGCGGCAGGATCGTCACTTTCTCTTCGGTTTCCGGTCTTTACGGTCAGGGCGGCCAGTCGAACTACGGTGCGGCGAAAGATGCCATCGCCGGCTTTACGCGGGTAGTGGCCAAAGAACTTGCGCGCTACAACGCAACGGCTAACATCATCTCGCCGGGTGCGAGTACCCGTATGACGGATAGCGTTCCCGACAGCACACGAGCAATGCGCGCTGGCGAGTTCCCGCCACCGATGGAGGGGATGCTAACCTCCGAACCCGACCAAGTTGCGCCGATGGTGGTGTGGCTATGCACCGATGCTGCAGAAGGCGTTTCTGGCAACATCTTCCACTGCAGTGGAAATCGTGTCAGCCTGATGAACCACCCGGTTCCACACCGGTCGATCTACAAGGACGGGCGTTGGACGGTCGATGAATTGTCAGCAGTTGTGCCGGAAACGATTGGAATGGATCTGATCAACCCCGCGCCGAAACAGGATTGATCACCTCAATAGCTGCCGGCGCGTACAGCCGTTAGCAGACGTAGTTGACGCTGTTCAGGATCAGTTGCTGGAACTGCGGGTGGAGCGCACTCGATCCGGCGTGGCCCAATGCGATGTTGGCTACCATGCCGTCGCCGAATTTGTAGGACCAGCCTAACGGTCGTTCTTCGTCCTCGACGACGCCGTGCATGAAGACGTCGATGCCAGGTTGGATGTCGAGTCCGCAGTAACATTCGTCGTACGTCCAGAAAGGTTCGACGCCCTTGGCCAATGGGTGGTCTGGGTTGCTAACGTGGACCTGGAACCAGCCGAACGGCGGGTGCCAGCTTTCATTCAATATCCAACCACCGCCGGTTATCTTCTTCATTTCCGACCAATCGGGTGTGGAGGCCGCTGAGATGTGAACCGAAACGAGGCCGCCGCCGCCAGCAACATAATCTTTGAAACCAGATCGCTGTGCGTCGTTCAAATCGTTGTCGGTCATTTCCTGACGTAGCGAGTTGAAGACGATTGCGTCGTAACCCGATAGATCACCCTCAAGTTCCGAAGCGCACTCCGAAACGTCGAGATCGTGTCCGGCTTCGGTGAGGAACTCAGATATCACCGGAGTCGTCTCTTCGTAAGGGTGTCTGCCGCCGGTCAGAAGTAGAAGTTTGGCCATCTTTTCGTTGCTCCGTTGCTGGTGTTTTGGGGAGAAATTCTGACTGAATGATACTCGCGATATGCAATTAGCCGTTGATGGCCGAATGGAAGTTGGTCTTTGACCACTCGTGGGCTAGGACCTCCATCTGGATGAAACTCTTCCCTTCGCGCCAAATGTGGTCATATCGCCGGAATCCAGCGTTCTCGAATGCGCGTTGTGCACGTTGGTTCGAGGTGAGCGTATGTAGGTAGAGCCGACGGATAACGGTCGTGGTGAATATGTGCGAAACCATGATCCTCGTCGCGTCAGTGCCATAACCGCGCCCCCAATAGCTGCGGTCGCCGATCATGATTCCGAACTCGGCCTGCATCCTTCGTTCGTTGTAGTCGTAGCACATGCAGTTCCCGATGTGCTGTCCATTCTCGTCTTCGATGGCGAACCGGAGCGATCGGTGGTTCGCATTCCTTAGGTCTTGGTGGTAAAACCGCTCGTAATCGATGTATGCGAGGTTTAGCGGCTCGGCGGCATCGAGATCGGATAGTTCGGGATCCGTGCGCCACTGATAGTCGTCCCAGGCATCGGAAATCCGCTTGGACCGGAGGGTGGCGCGATCGCCTTTGATACGAATGGCATCTTGGACCGTGCGTACTTTGCGGAAGATGCGAGCCGCCGATCGCGCGATTTTGGCTTCACTGTGATAAGTCAATGTTTGCAGCGCTTCGTCCAGATCGACCCACTGAGCGACGTCGTACTCGTGGTCGTGGCGTTCAAAGCAACCGCCTTGCGCTTCCATCAAAAACCAATAGACGGTCTTGTTCACCTTTATATTGGCGTGCGGATTTGCCCGGTCGCTGAGCAAACGGTTGTGCTTGGACCGTACGAAAGAGTAATGCGTGGAGTCGACAGTGGATACGAGCTTGACGTCGAGCCCCGTCTCCTCTTGGACCTCGCGGATCGCCGTTTGTTCAATCGTCTCGTCAGCATCTGGAGTACCTTTGGGAAGTGCCCAAAGGTTGGCGCCAATTCGTCCCACCAAGGCGATTTCGATGCGTTTGTCGCCGTTTTCGCGGGCGACAACACCTCCCGCGGACCAGCGCCTCAGCGTTTTCATCGCTTTTGGTTTGAGGATGTTCATGTTTTTGGTAGACAATACTCTCGCAGGCGATTGTAAACGACATGAGATTTTCGGGTGCGAACGAATGCCGCTACAGCGTATCCTCGCAGGTATCATTACGATAAAGGAATGCTACGGATTCAGCGCAAAACGTACACAATTGGCGCCCAATTATAGGCGCATCCGGAGGGGAGAACTCGTTCTCGAGACATGTCGGAAAACCATAGCCAGGATTTCGTAATTCGGTTCGCCGGCGAAGGCGGACAAGGACTTGTTACATCAGCGGACGCAATGGCGAGGGCCGCGGCAAATGCCGGGTACTTCGTATCGACGTTTTCGACATTTCCGTCTCAAATAATGGGCGGCCCCGCTTCTTCGCAAGTTCGTATTTCAAATACTCCGGTGTTGTGCTCAGGGGACAACGTGGATGTGCTCGTCGTGCTAGACGAGTACGCATACAACAGCCATAGGGACGACCTCTCAGAGAACGGCGTAGCGATCTACAACTCCGGCGAATTTCAACTCCCCGAAGGTGGGCCGTATTTCGGCATTGACGCCGATGAACTGGCAAAGTCGACGGGCAACACGCGCGCCGCAAACATGGTGACGATCGGAGCCGTTGCCTATCTCATCGGTTTCTCATTGGAAGAGATCGACGCATTCATCACGCAGCGATTCACGCGCGGTCGACCTGGCGACGACGAAATCATTGAATCGAACAAACAGGCGATCCGACTGGGTGCTGATGTTGCCGCCAAGAGCGGTTTCTCGGTTGGCAAGCTGACACCGCCGATTCCGCCTGATTACGACCAAATCATGATCACTGGGAACGCCGCGTTGGCTCTTGGTGCGGTCACCGCCGGTGTCGATTTTTACGCCGGTTATCCGATCTCGCCCGCGACCACAATATTGGTTTGGATGGAGCAAAACTTGGTCGGTCCGGGCCGTTTCGCACATCAGGTTTCTTCCGAAATCGAAGCCATCAGCGCGATCGTAGGTGCAGGTTACGCGGGTAAGAAGTCGATGACCGCGACCGCTGGACCGGGTCTTTCACTGATGAGTGAAGGGATCGGTCTTGCTTGGATGGCGGAGATACCGTGCGTTGTCGTAGATGTCCAACGTGGCGGTCCGTCTACCGGGCTTCCAACTAAATCTGAGCAGAGCGACTTGATGCTGTGCCTTAACCCCGGCCACGGGCGATATGAGCATACCAATCCTGGCTCCCGGATCGGTCGAAGAGTGTTTCGATGCCGGATCTCAGGCGGTAAATTGGGCTGAACGGTACCAGGGCCCGGTAATCGTGATGAGCGAGTTTGGGCAGGCCGAAAAGGGTGAGAACATTCGCCGGCCCGATCTGGCGGATGTAAAGGTCGAACGACGTTCGATCTACGAAGGATCTAACGGATACGCGCGCTACCAATCTTGGAACGGCGAAGGCCTTTCGCCAATGCCGATCCCAGGGGGACCGGGCGCATACGTCGCCAACGGTTCCGAACACGACGAGCGTGGCGACACGACGCATCTGCCTCGCCATCACATCAGGTTGACGGAGCGCAGATTTAAGAAGCTTGAGCTGCTCCGCGATGCCCATTACGAGATCGAGAACGAAGGCGCGATCGCGATGATCATGTCTTGGGGATCGTCGAAGGGCCCAGGCGCGCGAAGCGTACGAGCGATTGCGGGCGAGCGGCGCGGATGTCGGTTGGCTCTACTCAATGGCGCTCAATCCGCTTCCTGAAGAAATGAAGTCGGCGCTGGAGCGGGCGAATCGAGTGATTGTGCCTGAACTCAACTACACTGGTCAATGGTCAGCCGTCCTCCGTCAGCATGGATACCGCGCAGAATCGGTAACACAGTACACTGGACTACCGTTCAAACCGGCGACGCTGGTCGACCGGATTGGAGCCCGAGTGGCCGAACTGCGGGCAGAGAAAGGAATGGTTTTGGCGTGAGCAAACGCAACCCGGAATACGATTTCGTCTGGTGCCCTGGATGTGGAGATTTCGGCGTGCGGCGTGCTTTGGAGTGGGCGCTCGAGCGACATGTCGCCGAACACGAGATACCGCAGTCCAACTACGTCATAGTCGCCGGTATCGGTTGCTCGGGGAACATGGTGCACTTGATGGAAGGCGATCAGCCTTTCGGACTTCACGGAATCCACGGTCGAACGCTTCCTTTGTCGTTCGGCGTCAAGATGGGTCGGCCTGACATCGAAACGGTGGTCGTGGCTGGCGATGGTGATTTCCTCGCGATTGGCGGCGAGCATATCGGCCCGGCAGCCGCTCGAAATGTCGACATTACTTGTGTGGTGATGGACAACGGAGTTTATGGCCTAACTAAAGGCCAGTCATCACCGACTACTGAGATGGGCGCGACGACGAGTTCCACGCCATATGGCAAGGTCGAGACGCAGATGATGCCTCTCAAGTACTACATGACCATCGGCGTTTCGTACATCGCGTCTCACTACTCGAGCAAGCCGCGGGATCTCGCCAACTGCATTCAAGACGCGATGAACCACAAAGGTTTCTCGATCGTGCACGTCCAGTCTCCATGCACGACGTACAACGACACGTACGACATCCTCAAAGGGAATCGCCGCAAGGGCATTCCGGGCATTGCTTGGGAAGTCCCTGAGGACCATGATCCGTCAAGTCGGCAATCGGCAGAGGATCTGCTGGATCGGCCAGGAATTCCGTTGGGGCTGATCTACAAAGAGGATCGCCCTACGCTCCAAGACCAAGTCGACATGATCGCGGAGTCCAACCCGAATCGCAAGCCCGAGCAAATCTTGGCCACGTACGCGATTTAGAAGTTTCGTCCGCGGTTAACGCAGTCAGCGATCAACTTAACAGAGCAAACCTAATCGTGAGGCCATATCGTGCCTGATCGTCCGAATGTGTTGCTGATCTGTACTGACCAGCAGCGTCGCGATACGATGGCGTGTTACGGCAATGATTGGGTTCAATCTCCTAACGTCAACGCCCTCGCCGATGAGAGTTACGTTTTCGAAAACTGCTACGTAACCGTCGCGGTCTGCTCACCTGCTCGAGCATCTCTTTTGACCGGACTATACCCGCACACCGCCCGAGTGATAAAGAACAGCGTCCCGCTCCCGGACGCTTCACCAACGATCGCTGAGTTGGCACCAGAGGATTACACGACGGCGAAGTTCGGCAAGTGGCACCTCGGCAACGATTTGGTGCAACAGCACGGGTTTGACGAATGGGTGGCGACCGAAGACGAACATGAATCGAACCCAACGCATACTCGGCGTGAGCATAGGTTCAGACACTCGGAATACTTCGATTTCTTGAAGCCCCGAGGTTACCAACCACACCGCCGAACCGATGGCGGATACGCCTTCTCGCAGCAGCAACGAAGCATGTTGCCTGAAGAGCACACAATGGCGACCTTTCTCGGCGACAACGTCGCGGACTTCATCCGCCGCAATACCGAAGATCCTTGGTTGATGTGCGCGATGTTCTTCGAGCCGCATCCACCGTACAACGGTCCGTTCAATGAGATGTACGATCCTGCGGAGGTGCCGACCAGCCCGATATTCCTACGTGAACCCGATGCGAATACGCCATTGTGGCATCGACGACGTGCCAGGCATCACCTAGTTAACGGTGTGTCAGATCGTTTTCGAGTTAGTGACGAACAGTCGCCATCGTTGGACGTCGGTGCAGAGTCGCGACCGCTTGAGACCGAGGACGATTGGCGGGCGTTGAGAGCTCGTTACTTCGGTCTTGTGACGTTGATGGACAAGGGAGTAGGAAAGATACTCAACGCGCTTGATGAGACGGGTCAAGCCGATCGAACGGTCGTCGTCTTCACTAGCGACCATGGCGATGGAATCGGAGACCGCGGAATGCTCGGTACCAAACGGGCATTTTACGACGAGATCGCTGGTGTCCCGCTGTTGATGCGTGTTCCCTGGATGAACCGATCCCAAAGGCGCGTCGCCGGTAGTATCGGGCATGTCGACATCGTACCGACGTTGCTGGAGCTGATGGGAGTTGGAGGGGCAGAGATGCCAGATCATCTGCAGGGCCAAAGCCGCGTCGATGTCCTCAATAGCACGGCTGAGTTGTGTGGCGACGTTTTCATGCAGTGGTACGGACATTCGCCGACGGTTCCGCTCGGAAACGATGACATCGAGCGCATGTCGAATGTGTCGTGGCGGTCGGTGGTGACTAGTGACCGCTGGAAGTTGAATCTAAGCCCAGGCGATCAGTGCGAGCTTTACGATCTGAAAGTCGATCCGTACGAGATGAACAACCGTTTCGGCGACCCTGAGTGCCGAGATCGTGTACGAGACATGACGGCGCGAATCAGGATTTGGCAACAGGCCGTAGGCGACGAACTTACGTTGCCGTCGGTTTAGTTTTCTGACTCGGCAGGGCGGCGGTCTTCAATTTCTCCAGGATCAACCTTTTTGTCGCGACCAAATAGTTGCGAATTTTGTTTGTGAAACCGCACGCTTTTCAATAGCACGGCGAGTGCGAGCAATGAAATTCCGACGAAGAGTACGAGATGTTCGGTTCGCTCAGCGTTGGGACTGGCTATGGCGACCGTCAAAAGAAGAACACCCCATCCAGTGACACCGGCTTGCAGCGAGGGGTGGGCAAACTTAAACCGCAACGGAGGGACGCCAAATGCGATGGCTACGATTGCCGCGGGCAAGGCTGCCCACTCGAAAAGACCGACCACCAATCCACCGAGACTAGCAACACCGTCGCCACCTTTGAACTTGGTCATCGGCGAGAACCAATGCCCAAAAATCACGCCGATCGCGGGCACCAAAAACAACAATCCCGAGACTTCGAAAATATACCTTGATATCAAGACGGTGATGATGCCTTTGGCAACGTCGATAACGAAGACGATAAAACCGGTTTTGCGGCTCACGTTTTTCCAAACATTCGTAGCGCCGGCCTGACGCGATCCGACGTCGAAAATGTTGATGCCGTGAAGCCGCGCCGCGACATACGCGGCGGGGATTGCTCCGATGAAGAACGCAACCAGCGCAGCGAACGCGATATTGACAATTTCAGGACTGGCGTGCATCAGGATCAGGATTCGCAATGAATTTTAGCACCTTAAGCTAGACACGACGTGGCACGAAACAGCACAACGATTTCTAGAAAGCGCCCCGGCAGGGCGCGCCTCGGAGTCGCGCGTATCGGACGGACCATGTCGTCCGTCGAGCTTCGGAAGTTCCTTTTCGGTACGGTTGTCTGGAGCATTGGTAACCAGTTGGTGACGGTTACCCAGACCTACGTCATATTCGACATCACGAGATCGAGTCTGCAACTCGCGATACTGGGCGGAGCGGTCGTCGTGACCTCGGTCTCGATGTCAGTAGTCAGCGGGATATTGGCAGATCGATTCAGCCGCAAGACGTTGTTGATGTGCGGTTCGGTCGCGACGGCTAGCTCGATGCTCGCCGTCGGATTACTCATAATCACGGACCGAGTCGAACCGTGGCACATTCAAGTGGCTGTGGCAGTACACGGCGCCGCGCTCGCGCTCGATTGGACCGCGCGCTTCTCGCTTATTCCGAACATGGTGCCGCGGAATATATTGGCGCGCTCCGTATTCTTCGACAACACCTTCTTCAACCTCGGTCGTGTTCTTGCACCTTTGATGTGGGGTGGGATCGTTCATTTTTGGGGATACGAATGGACGTATTTCGCAATTGCTGGAGTCATGGCCCTTAACTTCGTGGTGGTAGCTACGTATCGACCACTCTCGTCAGTAGTCGTTGCCGCGCATCAAGCGATCTGGCACGATGTCATCGAAATCGCGGACGTAGTTCGATCTAACTCGATCCTGAAGGGAAACCTGATCTTTACGTTCGTCAATGCGCTGTTGATGGGCGGGTTCATCTACCTGCTCACGCCTATCGCACGCGAGGTATACAACGTCGGCGCTAGCGAGTACAGCCAACTTTTCGCATCCATCGGTATCGGAGCTTTTGTCGGCGGTCTGTTCCTCGGCCTAAGCGGCGGCTTCAAGCGCACCGGCTACGCTTTGCTGACAACGAATCTCTTGACTGCCAGTTTCGCGATAGCGTTCGCATTCGTTGCGAGCTTCTACTTTGGGTTCGGTTTTGCCTTGTTGTTCGGCCTGATCGGCGCGATACACGTCGGACTAGGATCCATCTCCCTGCAGATGTCGATCACCGACAACGTCAGGGGCAGGTTGGCCGGAATCTATGAGGTCGCTTGGGCCGGATTCCCGCTGGGCGGGTTCGTGTTCGGCGCCTTGGC